TACATTTTTTAAAACATATATTGTGGCAGTCATAAGGAGCACACACGATTGACTGTAAACACGTCTTTATTCCACGACTGCCAACAAGTGGATCTATTCTGAACAAGGACAGATAATGAACAAGGACAGAATAGTGTCCGCCATAATATTTATTAAAAGAAAAATAAATACCGGTAAAAGTCGCGAGAGAGAAGCCCAACCCGACCCGAACCTGTTTTACTTCCGCATTCCTGTCGTTTTGGTCCGCATCAGAAACTGCACGTGTGACCGCAAGTGGAGCTGAGCTGACGCTGCGCCGGTGCTGTCACGCTCAGCGGCTTTGCACGTGTGACCGCTCCACAAAATTTGCTCCGGTTTAAAATATATCGCAACAAAATATTTCGGTGCAGCGTCGGACCAAATGTGTGCCGTGTGAACAGGGCTAAAGACTCCACCAGATGCCATCTTTATTGCCGTTGTACAGGTACAATAAAATGTTGGCAGAGCAAGCCTGCCTGAAAGCAAGCAAAATGTACATACACACATTTCGCCATGCTGGCATGAATGTACCGGTATCTTGAAAAAGATCTCAAACTAAAATGGGAATGTGGGTGGTTAGTTTTGCAAAAGAGACAATGAAATATGTGGCTCACTGATTTATATGTTATAATTATTTGGTAAAATCACCCTCGCTGCCAAAAGGGTGAACGTTGTGAGAAGTTCAGTTTTCAATGCTTTTCGTTAGTATGTTTTATTTGTTAGTTATCCTGTCCTGACACACCTCCAATTGGAGTCCGGTATTTGATTTGGCCTTCATGAATCCTTTAAATCCTAGCATTCTACACTGATGTTATCCTCTATCACACAAGTCCTATTTTCTGAGAGGATGGCAAATAATGAAAAAGAATGTCTGCAGTCTGAAAAACAAAAAAAGTGCTGCTTGCTCAGAACACGTTCGTTTGAGCTGAATGATGAAAAACTTAAAAATGCGGGCGCACCATCTTAAACTATTCATAGATGCATAAAGGCTTAAAGGGTAAATCTTTTGATTTAACACTTATAAAGCACTCTGACCCACATAAGAGGATCACGGCTGTAAAACTGTTGTCGAGTAGCTACAAAGAATATTAAAAGCAAAACCTTACAACAATATTTGTGTGTCTTTTCTAAATAATGTACAGGCATGCCAAAATCCCCCTTCCATCTCACTGTCAACACAACTTACAGTGTTTTTAAACTTTGTGTATGAACTCTCAGTATCGGTAAAACTGTTCGAATATGCAAATGCAGCATTCTCATTTTCCAATTTCTTCACAGCTTGTCCACAGGGCACCTTTAAATCATCCCAGGGGCCCGGATTATGTCAACAATGTCCACTTAACAGTCGGTCCACCGTCGAGGCTGCCTCCCTTTGTGGATGTCGGAATGGTTACTATCGTGGTGACATGGACAAACCACAGGACTTGTGCACCAGTGAGTCCCTCTCTGTCAAAAGTGTATACAAAAAAAAAAAAAAATTGAATTGTACAAAAAAAAACAAACCCTCAAAGCAGTGGTTCTTAACCTTGTGAGAGGTACCGAACACAACCAGTTCATATGCACATTCACTGAACCCTTCATTTGTGAAAAAACAAAATTATGACTTTTTACAATTTCAAGGTTTATAAAACGCATTTATTAAGAACAGAAACAAAGTAAATGAAATTTCAAGACAAAAGTATAAATTTTTTTTTTTTAATTTTACGACATACCATCACGACTGAAATTTCAAGACAAAAGTATAATTTTTTTTTTTTTTAATTTTACGACATACCATCACGACAGTCACACGTTGACCACTGAGCGAACTAAATTTCCCACAGGACTGATTGGACAAGCAATGTCATGTGATCATCTGCAGCCAGTGATGGCCAAGCGGGCGTGTCATAACTAATTGACATGTTGAGTCAGGTGTGTCTTAACCTCCATGGGAGAGGCTCCGTCGAACCCCTGAGGCCGTTTCACCGAACCCCTAGGGTTCGATCGAACCCAGGTTGAGAACCACTGTCCTAGAGGGAATGTAATGGACAACACTGCTAGTTAAACGTCTTACCAAATTTGCCATTTCAACAGACCCATCGCCAGACATCAGTCTTTTGGGGGGCATATGTAATGCATGGTTTGGAGCCTCTTTTTCTCTTTTTAAACCCCAAACAGCACCAAATAATGGAGTGTAGTTAATGGGGACCGGGACCGGGATCCGCCCGTTCTAAGTGAAAAAAGAAGGGTTTGCTCCTCCCCTAGGAATTTTTGTGTCAGTGTATATGGGTACCAGCATGTTTAAAATATGTAAACAGTGATTATACTTTACATATTTGAGATAAAGACTACAGCAGTACACGCATTTACTGAAATTTTCATTATAAAACCGTACACAGTAATTAACATTCATCAGCATTGCCCTCTGAGAGAAACAGAGACTTGTGTTACTCTCACTTTACGCTCTGACGGTGCAGCCACCGATAGCCTCCAGCTACCTCCTGGCCAACTATCCCCGCACAGCCGATGTGTTTATGATAAGACAATTAAACGGTATTGATGAGGAGGAGGTGAAGAGAGACTTGCTGCTTTTTTGGACAAACCCAATCCCCACTGCCCTCCCCTTCTCCCTCCCTCTCTCTCGCATGCTTGCTTTCGCTCTCTCCCTTGCTCTCTTTCGCTCTGTCTGTCTGTCTGTCTGTCTCTGTCTGTCTGTCTCTGTCTCTCTCTCTCTCTCTTTCTCTCTCTCTCTCTCTCTCTCTCTCTCTCTCTGTCTCTCTCTCTCTTTCCCCACCACGCATGTAGCAAACATAACAGAAGAGACAGTATGACAGAGAGAGGCAGTCGAACGATCATAAGAGTCAACAGCACGATGTGACACAAGGGAAGGTGCTGGGAGGGGCTGTGAAGATGCGCAGCCAATCAGCTCACGGGAAAAATCCACTCTTGCTGTCATTGGTCGATATTGCGCCGGGAACCAATTATGCTTACAGGCATGTATAAAACCTCTAAGTCATTCGACGGTTTTTTTCCTGAATACAACCGTCATGTACTGAAGGTGCGGCAAATGAAGCGCAATACACCCAGGGATCATTGTATAGCTTATTTTTCCCAAAATAAGTCATCGTTTGTGATTGGTTGGTCTGAGCGATGCACTCAAGGACAAGCACAACAATGAATTGTACATGCAGTTTTCAGCAGGGAAACCTCTCGAGCTGGGCGACATGACAATATATATCGTGAAGACAATGAATAACGTTAATACGTCAAATAAGCTTGAATTGATGGGAAAAAGCTTTCACTTTGAATCTGTATGTTGCTGCATTGCCATTAGCTGACAGACAATAATTCCACTCCAAGAAAATTAAATATACAGTCAAACCTCAGTTTTCGATCGTCTCTGTTCTCGACCAAATCGGTTTTCGACCAAAAATTTCGAGTTTTTTATGCCTTGGATTACGACCGAAAATCGGTTCTGAGCACACTTGAATGCACCACTCAACTCCTCTCGCCTTCCTTACACGAGGACGTGACGCTTCCTTGTGTCGCGTTCCATTATGAACAGACATGTTCAATAAAGATTTTTTTAAAAAAGAACGTCCAATGTGAGCGGACATGCTCAATAAAGATTTTTTTTTTTTAAAGCATCGTGATTGTTGACATTTACGCAAATTGGACTGTTATTTCTGCATTGTGTATCAGCCCCTAATCATGGCACCAAAGAAAGCAAGTGGAAGAAGTAAAGCGGGTGAAAAAAAGAGGAAAATAGTGCGCAAAACTATTTAATTTAAGAATGATTTGATAGCGAAATATTAATCAGGTGTTTGTGTGTCTGTGTTGGCTAAGGAGTTCGGCATGCCGAACTCGACGATCAGCAGCATCCTAAAAAAGAAAGACCATCTTAAAGTCACTGATGTAGCTAAAGGGTCTCGTTTGTTTAGCAAACAAAGGCCACAAATATTAAAGGAAGTGGAGAAACTTTTGCTTATTTTCATAAATGAGAAACAGCTAGCAGGGGACGGTCTTAGCCAATATACGATTTGTAGCAAAACAAGACAATTGTATGGACATTTGATAAAAAAGGATCCTAGCATTGCTCCTGAAGAGTTTGATTTTCAAGCAAGCAGAGGATGGTTCGAAAAGTTTAGCCCATTCAAGTTAGGACGGCCCACCGAGGGGCCCTCCGTCATCTGTCAAAACAAATCGCTGATGCACGTCGTCAGCTGAGTACATGTGTGAACATGTTATACATCTTTTAAAAGTTTTCTGTTTGGAGATTTGAAATGAAATTAGACGAACATAAGATTCACCTTTTTTTCTGTTTTCAAACATCCATACATAGTTCAGTGACAGGAGCACTTACACAGATTCTGACTGTTTGGGAGAAACATTCAAATTCATAACATTTTGCATTTTTCTAAAACTGTTTCCAAAACTATGCTGATACTCCACATGGTTCAAGAACAGCTACAAATGTACTTTGGGTGCACCTTTTTAGGCGTTTTTGGCGAAGTTGCCCTGAGCCTAAAGGGTTAGGAAAAGAAGTGGGATGCACGCCGTGATTTGTCATGGGGAGGCAGCCAGTTCAGACAAGGAATCTGCCGAAAAGTTAAAAGTTGAGTTTGAAAATCTCATCAAGGCCGAGGAATATCTTCCCCAGCAAACTTTTAATATGGACGACACTGAACTTGTGTGGATTAAGCTGTTCAGAAAATGGATGGAGGGATGTTACCTCGTACCGTAGCGTAGGGTTGCAGAGAGAGTCCATAGTTACAGCCATTACTTTAGAGTTTATTATTTCAAGTCGTAAAATAATTTGATCTACAATTGTCACGATGAGACAGAGCGAGGAGAGAGAGAGAGAGAGAGAGAGAGAGAGAGAGAGAGAGAGAGAGGGAGGGAGAGTGAGAGAGAGAGAGAGAGGGAGAGAGAGAGAGAGAGAGAGAGAGCTGTTACTTGAATTTTTATGTTACAATGTTAATGTTTATGTTAAAATTGGTAAAAATGAAACATACAAATGTTTGTACAGTATTTTACATATTACCTGCTCTCTTATTACATCTGTATGCAGTTTATGGTGTAAAAGAGTAAAAAATGCTTTAAAAAAGTTGTTTTCTAGACTTGGAACGGATTAAAATTTATTGCATTGATTATAATGGGAAACATGGTTTAGGTTTTTGAACAAATTGGTTTTCGAACAGCCTTCTGGAATGGATTATGGTCGAAAACCGAGGTATGATTGTATATTAATATTAAGGACAAGCGATTCAGAAAATTGATTCATATATAGTGAGTTTATTGAATGCATAGAACAGTACAAATGTGATTTGTTTTCATAATGCAGTCCTGAGTTTTGATTTTTACTTTTGAGATCTGAAAAATAAGTTTTCAAAATTGCATTATAGTAAAGCTTATCTTTTTTTATATTTTTTCAATTTCTGTCAGCAACATTAGTTTCTAGATTTGTTCAAAAATATGTAGGTTTACTTCTATTTACATTTGTTGACTTTATATAGCACCACGACTGGATGCATTTATCATTTGATGCAGGTCTGTTTAATGTCATCAAAAGGTGAGAAAAGGTAAGCAGTCACACTGTGTTGTATCCAGTTTTTAATAGAATAACTGAAATTATATTGTGCTGTATTATTATTGTGATATAAAACGGCTAGCATTGGTATATTTTGTAGATTTTTTTCCATATCGCCCAGCACTAGAAACCTATACACAGTGAAACTCCTCTAGAACGAAACCTGCATGGGCGAAAATACCCCCTTATGTGAAAAAATCTTCATGCATTAACACAATTCCCATTCTCCTGCCCCCCATACGACAAAAAACCCCCTGTTGCGTTATACGAAATCATTTTGTCTGCTCCAGCCTCGCGAAGACATTCACTACAACGAAGTCTTATCCAACAGCGACCTGTACTGCTTCGTTCGACAAAAGGCAACAGCAACCACCACACTGGTTTACATAGTGAACGATGTTTATTTCGGTCACAGCTGCGAGTTTCCTGGGCTCAACATACTCATAGCTGCTCTGCTATTGGCTTACCGAGCATCATCCTGGCCTCCGATTGGCCAAGAGGCCACATAGACCTCACTGTCTATGTGTGTAGATACTGAAGCTAGATCCGTAGCATCCGATTAGCTGCTCAGAGTAAATTGCTTATGGCTCGACGGACATTTACTTTACTTTTTATCATGCTAAAAACACCCACGGGACGCTTCGTAGTCCTCGATGGCCATAGTTAGCTCTCGAAGGCGAAAAACCTTACGCTAACTGGAGCGCTTCTCTCTCATTAGCGCTCCAGTTAGCGTAAGGATTTTAGCCTTCGAGAGCTAACTATGGCCATCGAGGACTACGAAACGTCCCGTGGCTGTTTTTAGCATGATAACAAGTAAAGCATTCGAGGAAACGCGCAATTTCTTTCCCTTTTTTTCTTTCTACACTGACAATATGAAGTGTCAAATAAGTGTGTGCTCATACTTATGTACTATTGGAATAAAAATAGAGTACACAAACGTTTGTGTGTGCGTGTACACATACGTTTGTGTGTGTGGGTGTGTGTGTGCTTACATCTGAGATCAAATTTGCTACAGTGAAAAACCCCCTGTTGTGAAAAATTTCTTGCTGCAAACATGATTTCGTTGTAGAGGAGTTTCACTGTATTGTTGATTTTGAGATCTAGCTTTCTATGTTATGGAACGTTCAGGGCAACATTTCAACTGTAAAATTACACCAGTCAACACATTTTAACGATTTTTTTTTTAAATGTCTTTTTTTTTTTTTTTCCATGAGAGATGCAAATAAACTTTTCTTGAAAGTTTTTTGTGCCGATTCTAAATCTGCCCTTGTTTTTTTCTCTAGCACATCAGGATTTCATAATAATAATATTGCAACAATAATATCATATTTAGTAATATGTATGAGTTCAGCGTCTGGTTCAGCAACAGCTTGAATTTTTTTTCTTAAAGGTAATAACTTCATCCCATATTGCGCAAGCTTTTATTGGTCAAAGTCAAACAGGAAAACATCTCAAAAACCTGAAATACTAGGAAAAAGATAAAGACATTTTTTTTTCAATCAGTGTCAAAAATAGGTTAAGGGACACATAAAGCCACCTCTGATTAAAATTTGCTGTTGACCAGTGACAGTGCTGCAGCAGAATGCCATCCTTTCATCTTCCACATTCCACTGGCTTTTCGGTGAAGTGAAGATCTGTTTTGAGTGTTGAAGGGGCTGCATTGCTATGCAAGACGAGGAGCAGGGTTAGAAACACACTCGCTGCTCTCAGCTCCATTGAGACGTGGTGGAAGTAGGTTGAGACATGAATCATTTCAGGCTGTCTCTGCAGCAAGTCAGATTGTATTTGTGTATGTGTGTGTGCATGCGTGCGTGCGTGTGTGTGTGTGTGTTATTGTGCGCGCATGCATGTATATAAGTAGTTTACAATCCCTCCTCCAGTCTCTAATTGTTGTGAGGAGTTGCTGGATATAAATAAATGTTTATTGGGATTCTGCATCTAAATTTGTTTTTTGTTTTTATTTTTTTGCAGATTCGGTTTTTTGGGGCATTGACAATGCTACAAGGAGAATTTGCTTCGTACGTGCATGTGTACTATCTTTAGACATGTGCACGTCCTTGCTGGCCTAGATACAACTTTATAGTTTTAAGGGAATTTGAAAGATGGTTCATGCACAGTTCACTCACTTGATTTCACTGTTGAAATCAATGCTAATGCTTGACCACAAAAGGCAATGTAACAAAAAAGACCTTTACCTGACTGAGTGGCTGTGATGCGATATTGAGGGAGGAAATGATGCAGCACTGTGCTGTGATCTTACCCAGGGTGTTCACTGGTGTGCTGATATGCGACTGATTTCGATCAGCATATAAATGAAAAACTTCCATGTCATCTTGAGATTACCTTTTTCCCAGGCCTGTGTTTACAGTTTTGCACTTATTTGACCCATGACGTTCGAGTTTTCTTATGCGGTAACATACAAGTATTATCAGACACAATTGCAGCTCATGCGTTTTGTCGTTCACTCAAAACTTGTGAATAATTGAAACCCCACGCTGCTTGTGTGCCACCACTAATCATCTCTTGGGTTATTTCTTGGAGGTAATATCTAAATAATATGAGAAATTTATTTTTTTCCTATAGGTGAAATGAAACAGTTGGCCACTAACTTCTCCTGACAACAGGGGAAGCAACTCACCCCAACAATGGCGGCACACACACAAATTGATGCTGAAGAAAAATCAGGTTTTCACAGTGAAAAGGTCTTTGGCGTCAAGCGACGCTGCTCCACACTCCTCCCATGAATTGCCTTTGTCTTTCATTTCAAGGGCAAACATCAATTGAGTTTTAGCCATTGCATACCCCAATAGTGAGAGACTTCATGTCATTAAAAGAGGCAGCTTTGTTATTTTATTTTCAACCAAATTAGATTTGATAGGAGACTGCTATTTCATTTTAAAGAGCATTTGATGACAGTTGATCACTGAGAGCCAAGTCAAAGTACTTTGTACACACAAAATGAAGCTAGGAAAAGAAAAAAAATAAAGGCATAGATTCTCCAAACCTAAAATGATTAAATACAATTAAATTTGACTGAGCTGTGCATGTTAGGAGTGAATTAAACTGATGTTATTTTTATGCAACACAAGAATGCCATCAAATACGTGCTGAAATAAACTAACACTATGTCACAGGAGAAGCAAGTATTTTTTTTTTCATAAATAGCTTGTAAAGATGTAAATGAAATGTTGAGGAGTGAACTCAACCTCATTTAAGGATGGTGGAAATCATAAGATCTACATAATTGTGTGCGTGTTTTTTTCAATTTGATGATGTTCTGTGATTTCTGTTGTGAATAATGGAGGAGTTGTGATTAATGAAGAAGTACACTCTGGGTTTAGTTTGTTTGTATGTTTGTTTTATCTAGCTCTCATAATCCCATCTCCTTCTCCAGGTGTTCCTTCAGGTCCTCGAAACTTGGTCTCAGTTGTTAACCAGACATCAGTGCAACTGGAGTGGCATCCACCACGTGACATCGGGCATCGTGAAGACTTGTCCTATAATGTGTTGTGCCACCGTTGTCACAACAGTGAGCGACGGTTGTGTCAGCCATGTGATGACAGCGTGGCATATGTTCCAGGCCGGAGGGGGTTAAAAGTAACCAAGGTGGAAATCAGCAAGCTGCGGGCCCACACGACATACACCTTTGACATACAGGTTTGTTTCATGACATGGTGCATATTGTTTAATTAATTGTTATACACAGACCTCTTTTTCAACATACATTTAAGTGTTGAAATGTTTGAAGTACTACTATACCAGTAGAATATTTTATTAGACAGTATAAATTGGTGAAAAAATATCTGGGACTCAGATTAGCTCAACTGCATTTTTTTTCCATTAAATATGAATTTAAGAATTCAGGGACCATCTTATGTTCCAATTTTAAAATGGAGCTTTTTGCCAAATTGATTTTTGACCCTTTCAAGGCACCATATGTCTCGCTCATGATCGACAAAATTCAGAGGTGACCCAATCGAATCTGTCCATCCATCCATCCATCCATCCATTTTCTGATCAGCTTTATCCTCCCAAGGGATGCGGGAGCCTATCCCAGCTGTCTTTGGGCAGTAGGCGGGAAACACCCTGAACTGGTTGCCAGCCAATCACAGGGCACACAGAGATGAACAACCATCCACGCTCACACTCACACCAAGGGACAATTGAGAGTATGTTTTTGGAATGTGGGAGCAAACCGGAGTACCCGGAGAAAACACACTCAGGCACGGGAGAACGTGCAAACTCCACACAGGGAGGCCGGGGCCGGGATCGAACCGACCTCTGCACTGTGAGGTCGACGCACTAACCACTGGACCACCGGGCCGCCTTGAATCTGTCACCATGTGTCTATGTGTAGTTGTTGCGACAGGTAAAAGTAATTACATGTCATTCATCTGTGTCCAATCACACACACACAAAACTCCGTCTGAAAGACGTAAAAATACCAAGGTCCAGTCTGCAAAGATCTTATCGCTTGTGTTTTCATTTTGTTCAATTATTTTATTTTTGTTTTTTCGCACCACCAATATTTTTGCAACTGTGCCCCGCAACGTCATAACGCTACACTATTGTCTTTTAGATCAACAGACGTCGAACTTTTACAAGATTGCTCGAATAAAATTTTCTGCTCATTAGGTAATTAAGGCAATAATTCATGTAAATGTTGAGGTCAGATTTCATATTAGTGTTTCTGTTTTTTCAGCATCTTTAAATGTTTACTTATTAGTTGATAAAAGTATGATGAAATGAAATATACATCCTATGAAAGCAATTTCTCTTGTGTAGTCTTTTAAAGATGTCATCTTAAATTCAGTCACCTCTGCTTTCAAAGTATTCATAATGAAAAAAGAAGATAGTGCCGTCTAACTGTGCACATGGGTGAAGTTTTCTTTCTTTTGCTATTTTGCGAGACTTTGCACACGTAGACGTGGGTGTTATGGGGCATTTGCGCAGTTTTGGGATGAAACATCTAACTTTGCTGGCCAAGTGCGGCGGCACCCCTCATTTGCAATAAAATCAGGGCGGTCGTAGCAAACACCAGCTTAACATTGCGGAAATGTAAATAGACTCGCTGGGGTCCATGCATGACATTGGCACTGAAACTGCAGATGACATCGTCAGCCATGTATGTGACGTGGGCAATTGACTGCCTTGCACCAACAACGTGTAAGTCTGTGTGTGACAGCCGCGTCACTCATAATGTGCAGCGAGGCATAACACGTCTACTAAATTCACAGCCACGCTAATCGATATAAAAATGGATATTTGTCTGTTTTTAGGCCAAGGGTAGTCGAGTTTCTGTGACCAAATTAGCAAGTGTGTCGGGGGTGCGGCAGCTCCGTGCGCCGGAAAGCCCAGTAAGGGGTGTCTTGGTCCCAAATACATTAAACTAGGCTTGCCCAGGCACCCAAATAAAGTCGCGCAGAGCGCATGGGCACCAATCTACCAAAATATGGCCCTTTATCTCACCAAAATGAAAACTGCATCACTCAGGTCGGCGCTTTTGAATCATGTGCACCAAAACCAGCAGACATTCAAACAGCTTCTCCCCCCTCACCTTTAACAGTAACTCAAATCTATAGTGGCTCTTTGCGAATTTTGCACACCCCTGGGATTGTATTACCGCACTTATCATTGTAGGTCCAGCTCCCCACATACTTGAACAACTGTCGTTGATCAATATTCCACAGCACTAGACACTTCTAAGTGCTCAAGGACTTTCTGCATAATTGCACACCTAGAGTTGTACAGTACTATAATTACTGCTACTGGTCACTTGAAAAAATGGTGCAACGATTATCTGCACCAACTGCACAACCGTCATAGTTAAGTACCGCACCACTGATCACTCTATCTCTGCTCGATGACTGCACATTGTCACACAGCTGCCATTGGGCAGTCCTACTGTCATGTCTTTATTTGTCATAGTTGCTATTTACTGCAATACTCGTGTAGTTCATACTAGTGCTGTCAAGAGATTAAAAAATGGTGAGATTAATTAATTATGATCTGTAATTAATTGATTGAATCAATGTATATTGTAATCTCATTTAAAAATTGCTGAGAAAAACCCTATTTTCGTTTTAAATTCATTACATTATTGAGCATTGAGGCAGATCAAAAGATTCACATCACAAAAAAATGGTATTGTAAAGTTGCTTTTTTTTAAGACTTGAACAGATGCAGTCCAAGCATTTTAATTTCTACTGTATTTGAGACTAATCCCAAATCTTACCTGCAACCTTTAGTTTCGACCACCAAGGGGAATATCACTGTTTTGTTTTTGTATATCTCCAAATAATTACAAAATAAAAATAAAAGAGAACACCAGGTCCATCAAAAATGCTTAGGAATAGCTTAACATATCAAAAACAGTAAGAACACTTTTCTGAGCAATACAAGTACTGAACACGGAACTTGCTTCAGATAATAAATCAAATAGACCCTTAAAGCACAGTGCTGTAAGTTAGCACTTCAGAAATAACACTGTTCATCATGAAAAAATAAAGTGCTGAAATAAACATCAATCACTTCTTATAGGCTACAGAGGACACAGCAGCTATGCCGACTTCATTCCTCGTACGGGTTGTTCTCCTCGAGTTTAGTTTGACGAAGAGCTTTGCTATGGCTCCCTCCATTGCTAACACTTTCGGAACTAACGTTAGCCGTGGCTGCACTCGCGACTGGGTGCTTTGCATTGATGTAGGAGGCGAAACTTGAGCTGCTTAGGTGGTAAGCAAACTCCTTACAAATTAGGCACAACACTCTACCTTTATCAATAGTGCCATCAGGGTGTTTTTGGAATGTAAATTGTCCATTCATTGTGCCGAGAACTCTCACATGTTCCTCCATTTTCACCTCTCCTCTCCTCACCGCTGCCTACTTAGCCCGCCCAACTCCAATGGGAGCCAATCAGCTTATGCTAAACAAGCCCAAACATAATGACAGCCAATCAATGTCCGCTTCAGGCTGTGACTGACAGTTGTTTCCCCACCCTCAACAACTCGAACACATAAAAAGGGATATTAGAAAAAGGCAACTCACCTACAGAAACAATAAAGTTAGAGATTAAAATTTAGATTAACACGATTAAAAAACATAACACGCTAAATATGACTGTAATTAATTATTTGCAATTAATGCGATAATTTGACACCTCTAGTGCATACTACTGGAGACAAATTCCTTGTGTGTTTTACATACCTGGCCAACAAAGATGATTCTGATGATTTTGAATCTGATTGTGATCAAAGTCTGTATCTTATCAAATCTTTCACAAGCTCAAGGTTAATTGGTAAAATGAAAGGTCCATGATACAATATATGCTTTTACCGGTAATCTTGGATGACTAACACAGCACAATTTTTTTGACAAAAGTTAAGAAAGGTACTTTTACAAAGTTCCATGACAAGTTCTTCAAGGATTATATTCAATGCTGTTACACGACCCTGATCGTAAGTACCTCATGTCTCATCAACAGCAGGCTGGATGTCATTGCTCAAGGATACATGAGGAACGAGATAACCATGCTGAATTTTGATTTCTTTTGCACATTTTGCAGGTATATTTTATCAGGAATCGCTCCAATAGTCGAATCGTGTAGATGCTTTAAGGCTGTAACTGAACTTGACCTTCAAACTTTGATCAGGAGCCAACTTTACCATCAGGCTTGTGTGCCTGCTGCAAGGTCACCTGTCTTGTAACTGTCACCTCAGTGTCCTTTTGAGCGCAGTGTGGGATTCTGTCATGGTGTGTGATTGAACTGTGGCTTGCTCATTTCTCCTCATAATGATTCCACTTGTCAGTTTGGTATTTCTTGATACGATTAAAAAATATAAGATAAGATATCCTTTATTTGTCCCACACTGGGGAAATTTACAGTCTACAGCAGCAAGATTGGGGGTAGAAAGAAGAAAGAAGAAAAACAAAGTGTTTGCATTCACAAAATAAATGTTACAGTTTCAATGTACACCGTTCAATTAAGTGCAATATAAATATAGATATAGATAAGGGGGATGTGCTATTTACAATTGTTTTTCACATCATTTTATTTTTTATTCAGCAGCCTGACAGCAGTCGGTAGGAACGAGCGGCGGTATCGCTCCTTCTTGCAGCGCGGGTGTAACAGTCTCTGGCTACCTAGTGCTGTCAGGGCGTGCTGGAGAATGGGAGGGACTGTCCATCATAGCTTTTAGCTTAGCTAGCATCCTCCTGTTGCCTAGTGAACTTGTGGAATCTGTTCACAATAAATTCACAATAATCTTGCATACACACTTTGATACAGACAGACATTGTATTGATGTGTCGACCCGGAGCCCGATCCAGGCCTCTCCCTGGAGGTCTGGGGCGCGCCGAGGCGTTCCGCCTCTCTCCCGGGTGCCGGCCGGAGGATCAGGTGGGTCGACACACGAAGAATCGCTTCTCTGTTGAACCGCAGACCAGGGGACGCACCAGTTGTTTCTTTAAGCTTGAAGCCGAGATCGTTCGAGAGTCAAACACAAATTGAGTCCAGAGGCCGAAGTGCAGGCTGGTCACAAACGAGTTTTATTCAAGTAAAACCCGGAGAGGTACAGATGTGCACATCAGGAGAACTCTGAAATCCCTCGGGATTGAACATGGTTTATATGGCGTTGCGAGAGGCCATCCCCTCAACTGCCATTGGCCAGTCGTTTTTGGTTATTCATCAGTTTTATTGGTATCACAATGCGTTGTGTAATTCTGATTGGCTAGGGCTTTCGCTATCATCTAGTTTATAATGGTATCTATAAAATGCTCTATGTCTTGGTTCTGGGTTCTAATGGTATCACAATATCTTTATTCTTTAAAATAAATTAGAGGCCCCTACCGGGCCTCTGTGTGATTGCATGTGGGTTTCAACAAGTACCATCCACGTGTCTACGTTTAACATGTGTCCTTTTTCCCACCGCTACCATCTCTGTTTAATCCCATAAGTCCTTTTCCCGGCCGCTGACTTATGTCTTTTTCCCCGGTATGCAACTGTTACCTGTGTTTGACAACCATATGCCCATTTTTCTCCAACTAGCTACGTTTGCCTACATTGAACCCGAAGTCTATTCAATACTTCATAAAAAACAGATACTACAGTATCTTAAAATGTCTCACACGATTTGGTTGAATCAATATAAAACCATCCTCATATTTACATTGTGAAATAAAAGGGCATTGATTTTTATCGGATATGCTCCCTGGAGTAAATTGGCTTTTTGAAAAAATGATGGATGTTCTCTATGGAAGAATGGTTCTTCAACTCATTTTAGGATGATAGTCGATTTGTTCATCTTTTAAAACCAATATTTCCATTGAAATCAGTTCTATGAGATGTGATTTTTTTTTTTTTTCGGTGTAAAGACCGGGATCATAATAAAACTTTTATTAGCTATACAGGCAATAGTTTTAATCATACAGTACTTCAACATTACTAATTATACTAACAACCTTAATGACGAATGAAGAGGGGTGATAAATGTTGCTGTGGCAGAACACCTCACCTCTTTTCAAACAGAACTGTCACAATAGTATGAAATAAATTAATTCATCAATTTATTATACAAAGCACACACAAACACAGGAAAGACGCTACCTTTTGATGTGAAAAAGCCAAAGCAGTAGTCTGCATCTTTGCTGAGCGTTCCTTCTTGTCAAATAGCACATAAAATACCATATTTTTGGGATGGTTGTCATGATTCTGTTTTTGTCTATAGTAGGTTTAATTTTTTTTAATAGTTTACTGTCATGGTTCTGTTCCATTTGTGACCAACAAGTGGCATTGGAGGGCTTCTCCTCTGGCATTGCACCTCTGTTGATCATCATGTCATTAGCTCTTTTTTGTTAAAAGGACTGCCACGCTGACCACTCACTGTCGGATGGTTGTGCTACTGTCATGGGTTTTTGTTTGTTTGCTACTTTGAGTTTTGGGGTTTTGGTCATGTTATTGATTTAGTTTGTCCAGTGTGCCCCTGGAAGTGTTTTTTGTGACTACATTTTGTTCAGTACACACTGCTTCTCCTGCCTCCCTGCTTTTTTTGGTCTTCCACCATCACGCCCCACATGACAGAACAATCCGACCAATAATGGCCCCTGCAGGATCAGAGGCAATTGATCCCATTACCACCTGGCGCCAGCGGTGCACATCCCACAGCCATCACCTGTTCCTGTCCAGGCGCACGTACTATGGCCACCACCCATCCCCATTCAGGCAGCGCGCGTCCTGTGGCTGCCACCCATCCCTGTTCAGGCAGCGCACGACCTGCAGCCGAAACCCATTCCCACTCAGGCAGTGCTCTTCCTGCGGCCGCCACCCATTCCTGTTCCAGCACCTCACGTCCTGTGGCCGCCATCTGTACCTGTTCCGGCGGAGCACGTTCTGTGGCCGCCATTAGTCCCACTTCAGGCGCCGCACGTCCTATGGCCGCCATTAGTCCCACTTCAGGCGGCGCACATCCTTTGGCTGCCATTAGTCCCTGTTCCGGTGGCGTACATTCTGTGACCGCCATTGATTGACTTTGGGACGTCTGGCGTCTGTTCCTATGGGAGGAGTACTGTCATGATTCCCGTTTTTGTTTAGATTGGATTTGGTTTTGTTTCATAGTTTATTGACATGGTTATGTTCCGTTTGTGACCAACAGGTGCCATTGGAGGGCTACTCCTCCAGCGTCGCAACTGTTGGTCATGTCATTAGCTCTTTTTCATTCTAATATTCCAAAACACATGCCTGGTAGGTTGATTGAACGCTCTAAATTGTCCCAAGGTGCAATTGTAATTGAAAATTGTTATTTGTGTGCTCTGCGATTGGCTGGCAACCAGTTCATGATGTGCCCCACCAACTGCCCGAAGTCAGCTCGGTTTAGGCTCCAGGACACCTGCCAGCCTCGTGAGAATAAGAGGATCAGAAAATGGATGGATGGATGGATAGTGTCGCGAAATCTGCATTAAATACAATACAATACAATGAGCTGCTTTTGACACTCACAATTATTTTGTAGCTCTAATAACAGCACAAATATGCTTGGCAAGAATGTAGCATGCATGAATTCCATGTTTTCCTCCATTTCTGGGTTTGTGCTCCACATGCCGCCCTCGTCATTTCTATCCAATGGGTGTGGTGATCGTCACATGCGTCAATGTGACAATACAATATCTTTATTAATATAGCGCTTTAACAACAGCTGCAGCTGCAACAAAGCACTTTACAGAAAAGTTAACTTAAAATAACAAAATACGATGTCACAACACATAACATAATGCATGGACAGTGGTAACCACTATTCCTGCATACGCCTTGTTGTTTGAAGCAGTTATAGATAAAAGAGAGAATCAAAGTGTCCCTGCACCAGTGGGTCAGAGACGTCATGCTCAAAACGTGCATGACGTCCCATACGTCTGCTACAAGCTAAGTTTGTAAGTAAACAAGAAGCTGTAGCATCCATTGATGAAAAAAGAGATTGGCTCACTTCTTCTGTGACATTTAAATCCACTTAAATTCCAAGCACAGGCTCTCAGTTCCAAATACGCATCCACGCTCCACAGCGACGCTCCTCTCTCCTCATCCTCAGCTCTGGCAGCCATCCATCCAGTTGCACCAACTGTTGTACCAACTGTCTAACAGTGGTGACGTCTTTACGAAACAAAATGGTGCAGTGAAAAATGCTACTCATTACAGGGGCAAATAAGACAAGTATCCCTGCACTGTCAAGTGGTGACAGTCAAATAGCGATGACATTTGTCTCATCAAAATCAGTGCTGGTACATGCATGCTGCCAAGAGGGTGCAACAATCAAGCACGGATTCTTCTTCTTCGACCATTAGCATGACCAAAACAAACAGAATAGAGTTCAGTTGCCAAATGTACTATGTGAATATAAACTGCACCAAATGAAAAAAAGAAAATCCGCTTTTGGTCCAAACCAAACAAGGGTACCAAAGGACTTTTCTGGGTCGTCCCCGGGGCCTAAGTAGATGCCCGAGCCACCACATCTGGCTCCTCTCAACATGGAGGAGCACTGGCTCGACTCTAAATCCCTCCTGGATGACTAAGCTTCTCACCCTAACTCTAAGGGAGAGATCGTAGGGAACACACCGGGCTGGAGAAGTTTGGGGGTGAGGAGTTCCAGGATGATGGTGTTGAACACAGAGCTGAAATCCGCAAACAGGATCCTTCCGTAGGTCCCTGTGCTGTCGAGGTGCTCAAGGATGTAGTGCATTCCTATGTTGACTGCATCCTCTACAGACCTGTGTGCCCGGTAGGCAAACTGAAGAGGGTCCAGCAGGGGTCTAGTGATGTTCTTTAGGTGGTTCAGCACAAGCCGTTCAAAGGACTTCATGACATCAGAGCAACAGGCCTATAGTCATTCAGTTCCGATGTTGCTGGTTTCTTGGGAACTGGGATGATGGTAGACTGTTTGAAGCAGGATGGGACCTCACACAGCTCCAGGGATCTGTTGAAGATTTGTGTGAAGACCGGAGCTAGCTGGTCAGCGCAGACTTTCAGGCAGGAGTGGGACACTTTGTTGGGCCTCGCAGAGTTCTTGATCTTCTGCTGCTTGAAGAGGCGTCTCACGTCCTGTTCGTGGATCTGTCGGGCAGAGAATGAGGGTGGGGATGTGGATAGAGTAGTTTCTGCTCGAGGTGGGAAGTGGGTGTGTCCTTTTCAAATCGGCAAAAAAACATGGTTAGTTCATCAGCCAGATTCTTATTTTTCACTGCTTGGGGGGATGGTGTCCTATAGTTTGTGATTGCTTTCAGGCCATTCCACATAGATGCAGAGTTGTTAGCAGAGAACTGTTTTTTCAGCCTCTCTGCATAGCTTCTCTTCACGATGTAAATTTCCTTTGTCACTTGGTTTCAGGCGTGTTTGTGCCCGATCTCCACTTCTAAATCATTGCTGTCTGTGGAACGGAGAGGTAGATAACACAACCATCTTCCAATAGCTGCAGGGACCGAGCGAAAAATGAGTATCGTCCTGTCTCGCTCATGTTTGTCTTGTCTATGTTCCTCTGAACGGGTTGTAACTGGGAATGGAATTCCTTGTGTGTTTCTTGCACATATGGCCAGCAAATATGATTCAGATTCAGATTCTTCTGGATAGTGGGGAGCAAGGAAGTGGGTTATCTGGTGAGTGTATTAGCTTGTTTACAGCTGTTGAGCTGTCAAGATTTTTAATTTTGCAGCCAAGGTAATAACACAACCACCGATCCCCAGATTGACTAGCAATAGTCAAACTTTTTGTTTTTTCATCTGACGGAGGAGACTCCTCTTTTACACTCGAAACAAGCCCTGTATACTTGCATGGTGAACAAAAGTTTAGGAGACAGGTGGCGCTGTATTTCATTTGAAGCTAGCATAACACATAACACAGTCCCCCAACGCCCTGCTGATCATCTCTGGGGACTTCAACCATGTCTCTCTGTCGTCCTCCCTTTCAACCTTCACGCAGTATGTAACCTGTGCCAATAGAGACAATAAAATTTTGGACTTGTTTTATGCCAACACCAAGGAGGCATATACACCCCCCCCCCCTTGGAAGAGCAGACCACAACTTGGTATTTCTCGGGCCTGTGTACAACCCCTTGGTGCACAGGCAGCCAGCTGTGACCCATATGGTCAGGAAATGGTCCACGGAGGCTGAAGATGCTCTGCGGGACTGCTTCGACACAACCAGGTGGGAACTCTTAAGCGAGGTTCATGGGGAGGACATTGATGCACTCACTGACACCATCACGGACTACATAAACTTCTGTGAGGAGAACACCGTACCCACCAGAACTGTGCGGTGTTTCTACAACAACAAGCCATGGATTAATCCCGACATAAAGGCCCTCCTGAAGGAGAAGAAGAGAGCTTTTATGTCGAGAAACAGAGAGGAGCTGAAGGCCGTGCAGATTCGGCTGAGAAGAAAGATCAGAGAGGGGAAGAAGACGTACAGGACGAAATTGGAGAACCAGTTACAGGCCAGCAATGTCACTGGTGTCTGGAGGGGCCTGAAAACCATCTCAGGCCACAACAGCCCAAAGACATTGACTGAGAAGGACAAGGACTGGGCAGATGAACTGAACAGTTTCTTCAACCGTTTCGACAAGACGTCTGTCCCTTCCCCCAACCACCGTACCCACCAGAACTGCGCGGTGGTTTTCCAACAACAAACCATGGATTAATCCCGACATAAAGGCCCTCCTGAAGGAGAAGAACAGGGCTTTTATGTCGAGAAACAGAGAGGAGCTGAAAGCCGTGCAGATCCAGCTGAGAAGAAAGATCAGAGAGGGGAAGAAGACATACAGGATGAAATTGGAGGACCAGCTACAGGCCAGTAATGTCACTGGTGTCTGGAGGGGCCTGAAAACCATCTCAGGCCACAACAGCCCAAAGACATTGACTGAGAAGGACAAGGACTGGGCAGATGAACTGAACCTTTTTTTCAACCGGTTTGACCAGACGTCTGTCCGTTCCCCCAACCACCAGCTGCACCCACTCTCACTGAGGACTTCTCCTCCCCCTCCTCTTTCAACCAGCTCACAACAACCCAGTCTGTCACCTTGTTACTGCCTGTCCGTCACAACAGAGCAGGTGAGGAACCAACTGAGGAAAATGAATGTGAGGAAGGCAGCAGGTCCGGACAAGATCAGATCTCGGCTCCTCAGGACCTGCTCTGACCAGCTGTGTGACATTGTCCAGCACATGTTGAACCTGAGCCTGAAGCTGGGCAGAGCTCCACAGCTGTGGAAAACTTCGTGCCTGGTCCCAGTGCCCAGGAACCCCCACCCTCAGGAGCTGAACAGCTACAGACCGGTGGCGCTGATGTCTCACCTGATGAAGACGCTGGAGAAGACTCGTCCTTGCCTACCTTCGACCGCTGGTGAGCTCGGCACTGGTCTCGCTGCAGTTTGCCTATCAGCCTGGCATCGGCGTGGAGGACGCCATCATCTACCTCCTCCACTCAGTGCTGTTACACCTGGAGGAGACTGGGAGCACTGTTGAGAATCATGTTCTTTGATTTCTCCAGTGCCTTCAACACCATCCAACCCAACCTACTGAGGGACAAACTGCAGAACGCCGGAGTGGACCACCATCTCACAGCATGGATTATAGACTACCTCACAAACCGGCCGCAATACGTAAGGGTGCAGAGCTGTGAGTCGGACAGGCTTCTCTGCAGTACGGGAGCGCCGCAGGGGACTGTTCTGGCTCCATTCCTGTTCATCCTCGCCTCCTCGGACTTCAGACACACCACTCCAAACTGCCACCTTCAGAAGTTCTCCGATGACTCTGCGATTGTTGGCCTCATTACAGAGGGGGACGATCGGGAGTACAAGAGAGATACCGCCGCTCGTTCCTACCTACTGCTGTCAGGTGTACATTGAAACTGTAACATTTTGTGAATGCAAACACTTTGTTTTTCTTCTTTCTTCTTTCTACCCACAATCTTGCTGCTGTAGACTGTAAATTTCCCCAGTGTGGGCCAAATAGAGGATATCTTAACTTATCTTATAATAAAGCTAAATGTATCATTTAAACTTACAGTACAATAACAAGAAAGTATTTAACATACAATGCTTCACAAAGTGCCAGAGATTTTCACTCGGACAGTTAACAAAGGCTCGACGCAGGAATAGATCAACTTTCACTGCCGGCAGGAGGTGCAGTTCTCCATGAAGCCACTCAGTGTGCGCTTCCACTGTCACCCGACCCCTGCAGCCTCTGCCGGCCTTTTTATTGATTGTGTATGCAAATGATAAGTAATACATCAGAAAAACACTCCCATCTTCATTTACATACCACACCCCTGGACGGCCCCATTGGGGTCACCCCTCAGTGGACCCCCAAAGACAAAGCATTCCCTTGGTACCAGAACCAACATCCATAAACTAACAGAAACATAGACATTTTAATGAGCGGTCTTTCCATGAACTGATACGTCTGTAACCTGGCTTGTGACCCTTTCTCCTGATGGCGTGTACGAGTACTCCTTCAGAGTACTCCCTTCCATCCAAAGTTAAATCTTCCTTTCCAAGTTGTCAGATAACAGGCGCCAGTGTGTCTACTAATGACAGTTAAATCTTTCTCTCTGAGATGTGGTCAGGTACCATGCGCTCGTGGGTCCCTTGACCTCAAATTCACCCCTGATTCTCTGTGCTTTCATTGTGTGCAAGATGTTCTGAACACAAGCATTTCGAGGTCAATCAAGCATGTAACAAAATGAAACTTTAAAACATGACAACATTGTATTTGTCTATTCTAACACAAAGATAATGCAATTATAATCTGGTGTGCTTCATGCAAAAAAATGTATTAAAATAGACCTGTTCTTCTGCCCTAACCATGCGTTTGACATGAGAGCACGGTGTAGACAGCAAGCTAAACAATTCTCCAATAAAAACACGAAGATGAGAATGCACCGTTTGATATTTCTATGGAAGACTTTCTTGTAAAACTGCATACAAACAGAAACACAACACGAATGTTTGTACAGCATCCCATTATGCATATGAAATGTAACAGAGAAGTCCAAAGCTCACAAAAAAGCAATCCAATATGCAGGGAGAGGATCCTATCAAAGCGATGCCAATTTAGCAAAAGGAAGCAAATTAACGAAACAAAAATAGGAACATCTTTTAATACAACCAACACTTCTCCTTGACATTTACATGCAGGCGACTGATAATCGTCTCCATCTGGCGTGGCACTGAAACACTTTGTAACACTGAACAAAAGCACTTCGACTTTGTCAGTGTGTTTTCTGCTTCGAGTCTGCATAAATATTCTTATCTTGGCACCATCGGATTATTGTGACAACAAGCCATAAGAAATGGCAAACGATTGCAAAGTTAATCCTTTGAAGCGTGCTGAAAATAGTTCGACTGGGATGTTATTTGAGCGGTGACATTTTTACTGACAAAACCACAAACTGCAGCAGATGGGCCAGTACAGGATGTCGTTTCCAAAATTCATACTTGTATCAAGCACTTATTTGCTGTGTTGACTTTGAAATGAATCGGCTGAAGAGTGTATTTAAAGCAGTTATGGAAATAACTGTTTAATTAATTACCTCACAGATGATAAAATCTGTCTGCGACAGCGATGTCAGCCAAGACTTTAGGAGTTGTCTGTCAGCAATGGAAAGCATGCATTCTAAAACTCACTGGCAGTTTCTTTTGATAGACCTGCATAATTTGATGACATCTGGTGCAAGAATGATCAAAAATCAAGAAATAATTATGCATATGTTTGACTGAAAGTGTTAATAAGCCACTTGTTTAACAATATTTGTATTTTTGTGGTTGTTGTTTGCAGTGGTGAAGGACTGTTGCATCATATTGATCCAAGTGTTTTTAATATTTTGTCCTATGTATCAAAATACATAAACCCCCTTCAGTGCAGCAAGCATTGCAGTTCAATATTGCAAAACATAATGATAAAAACTTAACACAAAACGGAGGATATTTTATATATTTTTTGAAGCATATTGGTGGGACACAGTTCTTGTATTGGTTAGTTTCAAGCTTTAGAGTGTATGTGTTCTTTGTGGAAATGTATTTTATCATGTTATCCAAGATTCAAAAAGCAAGGTTAAATGAACGTATATGTATATAATGTAAATTGCTGATTCTGTTACTATTCTACAGGCAGTCAATGGAGTTTCCAACAAGAGCCCTTATCCCGCCCAGCAGGTGTCAATCAACATTACAACTAATCAAGCTGGTGAGTGCAAAAGCATTGTGTCCGTGAGCGGATGTGTTTGCGGCCATCTGTGGGGTGTGCATAATCGTACCCTGGGGCACTGTGGATTATGTGAGTAAAGAGATGTCTCGGGGGGTATAGGAAATTGCAAAAGCTGCAGCCTTTTACTTCATAGAACATATTCTCGGCTTGCCATGTCTTTCTGCCACCCCCCCCCAACACTCCGCTGTGTTCTTCCTGCAGCTTTCACCATGCTGTCATTTTTGCCAATGCCTTCCTCTTAGTTCTCTCTCTGGCCATCAACCACTTGCCCTACACTTATTCCAGTCTCTGACTACGTACTTCTTACAGACTGTGAAGTCAATCAAGTTCCTGGTGCCTCAGTACTTTATAGAGACAGACTCAAGTGAAATATCTACCTGCATTCAGATTGAAATGTTCCTATTCTATTCTGGAAAACGCAACCTAATTTCCAGGATACCCGAGGTAGAAAAGTGCTATAGACGTGACAACCTATTTACCATCCCAGACTCCATCCATCCATCCATCCATCCATGCATCCATTTTGTGAACCGCTTTGTCCTCTTGAGGGTTGCGGCCTTTGCAGAGGAGGCCGGAGACACCCTGAGCTGGTTGCCAGACAATTGCAGGGCACACATAGACAAACAACCATCCGCGCTTAACAATTTAGAGTGTTCAATTAACCTAATCTATATGTTTTTGGAATGTGGGAGGCAACCGGCTCATTCTTTCTCGATAAGTAATCCATTGTGTACATCAGCACTTTCTGAGCAGATCCAAATCTATTGCCAGATCCAAATTTCCCTAATCCCAAATGTTGTAGCACACCACAAAAAAAGTGTTCCTTTTTTCTAAAACCATGCACAATATTTGAGCATATCCCAGGAGAAAGTGATGCAACCCATAATATGCACAATGATGAAAAATTGTAAATGTAAACATTTTAATAAGGGGAGGTCCAGTGTTAGTGGGCTCATACTGTAAAACTAAAATGATTTCACGAACATATCCAGTCTTCACAGCCATCCTGACTCAAGAGTTCGATTGTCGGTGAATTTCTTGCACCGAAAACATTTGCTGAAAAAACATTGTTAGGTACTCTAGTCGAATATTCTGAGTCCCATAAAACTTCTGCTGTCTGTCTCTTTTTCTCATCTCATCCCTTCACCCCTCAAAGTGATGCCGTAATGAGATGAAAACCAACATAAAAATCCCATCAGCAAAACCATAAATACACATTTCACTACAACAGCCACTGGCTCTTAAAATTAGGTGTAAAATGCACTGTAGTCCTTATTCTGGCTACCCCCATTAGTGGCAAGCACATATTCATGATGGGGTAACATGTTTTTCTTCCATGGTTGTAAATAATCCAACAGATGTCATTGCATCATTATATATTTGCATAATTCTCGTATGATAGAATACTAACTGTGTGCACCTGCATTTTTAACAGCTCCTTCAGTGGTACCCATAATGCACCAAGTGAGCTCAACAAGCCGCAGTTTCTCATTGTCGTGGCCACCCCCTGAACATCCCAATGGAATAATCCTCGACTATGAGATACGATACTATGATCAGGTATATTTGGATGACTAATGTGTGTCTGTGTGCTTTTTCCCTACTGTTCACTGCCAGCAGTCAATTAGAGTCAATAAAATCAGTTATCAAGACTGTGAAAGCAGCAATGATGACAGTGCTTGCTCATCTTATCTCACCGTCTCACTGCTGAAATAAACAACCGTTCAGTCATCGTGCATCACAGAATAAAAACTGGATGTGACATGGATAAAATTCTAACTTCATGATTATTTACTAAAAAGAGCAACGTTTATCAGTTTGAACATTTAATATTTTACTCTCTGTGGTGTATTCAATTCAGCATAGGTCGAACATGATTTGCAAATCATTGTATTCTGTGGAAGAGAAGGCTAGAGGCAAAAGTAAACTCAGAGAAGTTAGCCTCCTAACAGAATAAAGCAAACGTGTGAAGCTTAGGAAAGAACTGCCCAAGAAATACAGCATAATGTCCACAAATGAGGCACTTGAGACTGCCAAGTAAAGACTTACTGCCTTGGCTAACCGCCGAAACACAACAGAGTTAGAGGCCAGGAGAACAATCATGATGTTCTCAACAACCCAGCGAAGGTCTACTCGCAATGAAAAGGTTGCAAGACCGAAACAGACCCAGTCAAGGCAGAGACAGAGCACTCCTGGAAGACTATCTGGGAGAAGGGAGCGACACTTAATACCAATGCCCAGTGGCTGGCAGACTTACAAGTAGAGCCCAGCAACGTCGTAGAGCAAGAACCAGTACTCATAACAGTGGCGGATATCTTAGCTAGAGTGTTGGAGATGCCGAGATAACACCACCAGGGTCCCACATGATTCACGTATACTGGCGAAAGAAGCTCACTGCTCTCCATGAAAGCCTGGCAGCACAAATGAGCCAGCTACTACCATCAGGGCCCCACCCACATTGGCTAACCCAAAGTTAGACAATCCTCATCAGGAAGGACTCCCCAGAAGGCACTCCATCAAACTATCCACCTGTAACCTGCCTCAGCACCTCATGGAAGCTCCTATCAGGGATCATAGCAGCCAAAATGAGTAGGCATATGGATCAATACATGGGCAGAAACAGAAAGACTTTGATAATAACAACACGGGTGCCCAACACCAACTACTGGTTGACGGGGCAATCACCCAAAACTGTAAAACCAGAAGCACCAACCTGTGCACTGCCTGGATTGACGGCAAAAATGCCAGGACTCAGTGTCATACACACGGACGGATACTGGAGTGCTTGGAACTGTTTAACATGAACAGGATTCAAAGAACATTCATCAAGAACTCAGTGAGGCTATGAAATACAACTCTTGAGGCCAACTCAAAGCCAGTTACACAGATGCATGTCATATATGGCATACTCCAAGGAAAAGCTTTTCCCCACTGCTGTTCTGTAGTTAAATCATAACCAAGAGTGGCTTTGGGTGCCGGTTCAGAAGTGGAGCAACTATCAACCACCTCATCTACAAGGATTATATTAAACTGTATGCCGAGAATAGCAATGACATCGGAGTGGCATTCAGATTACAATACAATACAGGGGATACAATGCGGGATGTTCAAAGAAACCCCTGAACTGAGGCAACACTGAGAAAAAGGTTTTGATGAATTCACTCAATTTTATTTCGTCAAGTTGTTGCACGAAAAAAAATCATCTAGGCCCAGATAAACTTTCTTAAGTAAACTGTACTTCTACTTAAAAATGTACCTGCAGTCAAATGACTTTATTTTGTGCAACCACTTGATTCAATAAAATGGAGTAGCTTCACATTCTATTTTTTTTTTCAGTCTAGGTGGGCGTCGGCAAATTTAGCCTAGGGCGAGAAGGCTGCCTGGTCGCCATTGTTATTTGTCATGTCAAATTGAAAGATACGAATTCATGACTCAATATTAGACTGCATCAGAATACCTGTTAAAGTGTCGAGTGAGAATATAATAGCAAGCTAAGGAAAAGATGAACTGTATCTTGGAAAGCAAATAGATCACTTAGAAGAGCGTAGAAGAAAACAAAGAGATACTTCACTCAAAAATTGTGCGAGCTGTGTTCTGATAAAGCAAGCTGTCAAAAATCAGGCCAGTGATTGAACGTTTAATTAAGGACCAATATAACATTCAATGAAAAGTTGACATTTTGGTGTGTTCTATTTATATTGATTACAATGAATTACAGACAGCAAGTATATGCCAACTCTTTTCCCACTTTTTTTATACTGTCATCTCGTCTTCGTTTCCACTTCGTCATCCCCTCCTTCTTACTTCCCCATCCATTGCCTTCACTCTTGTAGATAATGAGGTTTGAATTCCACAAATTTAATATGGCGCACGGTGGTAGGATTCATTCCTCTTGCTTATCTCTGGGTACCAGACCTTCTCAGATGGGGGCCGGCATAACCTCCCCTAAGTCCCCAATCACACACGCACACACGCACACACACACACACACACACACACACACACACACACACACGCACAAGTTGTTTTTGGGCAGTGATAGTTACTGAAGTCAAAATGCAGTGACTTTTCAAAGCCTTTTCAACTAATTCGTTTGATGCAGTACCTCACTTTACATCCCTAACCTTAATTTAGTTCCTTTTCTCTTTTTCCAGCCCACTGTGAGCCATCATCTTCCAGGCCTCCTTCAACCTTACAGCATGATTCCCTCCCCCCATCGTTCATGCCATCATGATAATATCTAGATCACGCCCCCCACCCCCCCTTTTTTTTTTTTATTCAGGACCAATATAACCCTTACTAGATATAGAAAGCTAATGTGTGCTTTATTTGGGGTTGAACCAACTAGCCTTGGATTTATGAGCTAGGGCCTATAGTTCTGACATGTTATCAACAAGCGGTAGGCTAATGGAAACTCAGGTTTTTCAGATAAACATGTCTATGTGGACACTTATTAAACATATATGAAATATAAACTGAAAAGGCAAAAGGAAGGCACAGGGATATTTATGGAGTTTAAGAGGTGGGTAAGCTTTTGTGCTCAAATTGGATTTTTAAAAAATGGATGGGACCAGCTCAGTTACAGATAAAGTAAAAAGAAAAATCTGGTTGAATGTACACCAAGAATTGTAAAAACATGCTTTAATTTCTTGATTGTTAAGTTCCTTTGCCATTACTAAGACTTAGATTTAAATTGCTGCAAACCCCGTAATCTGGATCTCCACATTGAACTTGGCTTAACATTGCAGCTTCTGCCTGTGAATGCACATAATATATTGTGTTCCACTTGGACACAACTTGACGAGCAAATTATTTTAATGCATAATTTGACATGATATAATCTCAGATCAATTCAACTGTATTTATAGAGCACTTTAAAACAGCCACCGCTGTATACAAAGTGCTATAGATGGAGCAAAAATAATTCATACAACAAACAATAAAACAATAAATTAATAACAAACATGGTAGAAAACATAAAAAAAGTCAAACTAATCAAGTATCATGCTGAGTCAAAAGCCAAACAATGGAAGTGAGTTTTAAGATGAGTTTTAAAGATGGGCAGTGAGGGGGCTTGCTGAAGGTTCAGCAGGAGGTCATTCCTAAGAAAGGGACCAGCAACAGAAAAGGCTCGATCCCCTCTGAGCCTCCGCTTAGTTCTTGGTATCTCTAATAGTGTCTGGTCTGCAGATCTGAGGTGCCTAGCAGGTGCGTAGGGGCGGTGGAGTTCAGAGAGGTCAAGTGGGCCGAGGCCATTTAAGAATTTGCAAACAAATAATAGGATCTTGAAAATAACTCTCCCTCTTTCGAGTACCAGTCAAGAGGCGAGCAGCAGAATTCTGGACCAGCTGGAGATGCTTAATGGAGGACTCCAAAGTAAAGTGCATTACAGTAATCCAGCCAGGTTTTGACAAAGGCATGAATTACTGTTTCAGCACTGGGATGCACTGGTAACACATTTATCAGACCAAGTACTTACATGTGTGTACTCACCAATACTGACTGTGGTGCTGCCGTTAAACAGAAATAAAACATACCTTCCTCAAATTACCCAAAGAAAAAGAAAAAGAGTGCAAGAAAAAAGATTTTTTAATTTACATTAAAAAAGGCTTGATAAGAGTTCAATCATCGGCATGGGAAAATAAGCATAGTATTTAAAGCATTTACACTTTGAGCTACCTTAAGACACCCCACAAATAACTTAATAAACCCTTCTGTCGTTCCATGAACTTGTCGGGCCCAAACAATGTGGGGAACTTGTTTTGGAGCAAACATTGCTATGGTAACTTGTTCCACTTTGTCAGCCTAATTTTCTGGCAAATGCACAAAAAAAAAAAAAAAGCAACAATGAAATTAATATTTGGAACGCGAGAAGAAAGCACAGTTGAGTACAGATCTTGGAAAAAAAAAGTCTCGCTTTACTTCTGGATACATGACAGACACAAAAGTAGTGACGCTGGTTACATTAATAGTGGTAGTTGAAAAAAAAAGCAAGCAAAACGTATATCCTACTCTTCTTTTTTTAGAACAATTTGCCAAATGTAAATGGTCACAAATCAAAAAAATGGTTGCAACGATATTACTGGTAAAAATTGCTTCGTATGGCTCACACACGCGCGTGTGCACGCACACACGCAGTGGCACACACTTTCTTGACGAGTTTGGTCATTGCTTCGATACATTTGTTAATGTAACTATTATTGTAACTGCCCAATTGTACTTAAATGCGTTAACCGCAATTTTGAGACATTGTTCACAACAAAGAAGAGCGTTAAATAAAACTTTGATTGTGATGACTGCAAACCGGTCAAATTAGACCAACAATATGAAAGGAGCGAGGTTACACAAACCACATAGGACACGACAGCCAGTTTCAGTGTTCATGTACTGTACGTGCACACTTTCCTACAAACCTTCCTGCAATGCACAATTTTAAGAACAAATAACTGTTGTCTAAAAAATGAAATTAGTTGGTCATTATTAAGTGAAATCTCTTATATTCTGTCTGATATTTAAGTCGCGAATGGCGTAATGATACACTCGGCTGACTTCTGTGCGGGTAGCGTGGGATCGGTTCCCACTTAGTGATGGTGTGGATGTGAATGTGAATGGTTGTTTGTCTCTCGATGTGCCGTGAGACTGATTAGCGACCAGTTCAGGGTGTAGTCTGCCTTCCGCCCAAAGTCAGCTGGGATAGGCTCCAGAAACTCCCTGCGACCCTGTTCAGGATGAGCGGTGTTGAGAATGGATGGATGGGTGGATGACATTCATAATATTGTTTAACCAAGCAAAAATGTATTTGAATGGAATACTACGATTTTCATTAAGATACTCGATTACTACATTTTCAAAGACTGCACCCCTACTGTATCGATAATACAGACAATGGCACCAAAACTGATTCTGGTGAAACCCTAAATCAATTTAAACATAACAAAAATAACTGGAAAAATATACACAAATAATTTAAAAATATAATATGGTATAGAGCAGGGGTGTCAAAATTCCTGGATCATGACCCCAAACAGGCTTAAGCCAGGCCCCACAAGATGATTTGTGTGAGAAAGTATAAAAATAATTAAGGCCCGACGAAATGAACAGCCTCCCCAAATTCATCAAATGTACGATGTTAATTGAACACAACTCAGGTATGTCTCCAAATTAATTTTAATGTACTTTTACCACATCCTCTAATCATTTTTATTGATTTATAAAGTTCAAAGAGAAAGTCTTTCTGTAAGCCTTCCAGTCAAATTGTTCAATTTCTTGATATTTAAAGCAATACTCGGATGACCAAAACAATTTGGCCTGAATGCCATTCTTTTAAACACAATCTTAAGTCAGGGTTTGTTTCAGGGGAAATATTACATATTCAACTACAGTACTGGTAAGACAAATTAATGAAATGCATTGCGCCACAAAATGAATTCTGGATGCATTGTAGATGTGTGAATTAGGTAGATATGACATGCCCGTGCCTACGGCAACATGAAAGCTGCTATAGCAGTGTTTCCGCTTTCCCTGTTTGTCACTGTTACAACAACAAACAAACAAAAAATCCAGGATGAATTCCCTGCATTGATAGGACACACTTTGGCGTTGACATGAAAGTCAGCTTCAGGAAAATTGGTTGTGAAATGAGCAAGTTCTGACCTATTTTCAATGCCCAGGCATTACCTTTTACGGCTGGTACCAACGTCTCTGAGCTGGGCTGCTACTTATCATGACACAGTTGAAGTGCTCGTGCATTTATAACAAGATAATAGCTTGCTGATCGCTGAAAGTGGGTCACTACGCTAGCGTTTACGTTAGCATTAGCATCTAACTTTGTCGCCGCTCAGCGCAGGAACAAGCTTTTGGTCCTCACCAAGTGATTCACAATGGGCGGCTGTTGCAATTTTGAGCCTGTATCGGACATTTCAGAATCTGAATCAGAATCTGAATCAGAATCATCTTTACTGGCCAAATATGTAGAACACACAAGGAATTTGTCTTAGGTAGTACAGGCTGCACTAGTATCATCATAAACAAGGACATGACAAATAAGTATGGAAGGGCATTCCGTAATGTGAATGTACCGTTGTGCAGTGGTACCACCCAATTTGGCTCAGTCTTTTTCCTGCCACTGGATATTTGTGTTTCATTGTATTTATTTATTGATATATTGTTATTTAATTTTATTGTGTTTACTATGCAAAATTGTATTTTATGAAAAATGGACGACCCATCCATCCATTTGCTGATCCATTTATCACCTCGCAAAGTCACGGGGGGTGCTGTAGCCTATCCCAGCTGTCTTCGGGCAGTAGGCGGGGGACACCCTGAACCGGCTGCCAGCCACTCGCAAGACACGCATTGACGAACAACCATTCACGCTCACAATAACTTGCAGAGACAATTTAGAGTGTTCTCCCAGCCTGCCATGCATGTTTTTGGAATCTGCGAAGAAACCAGAATACCCAGAGAAAATCCATGCAGGCATAGGGAAAACATGCAAACTCCACACAAGAAGGCCAGAGCCATTATCAAACCCTGCTTCCCTATGAGCCCAACGTGTTCACCAGTGTTGACCACTGTGCCACCTACAATATCTTTCTCTCAAAAATTAAATAAATACATATGTGTGTGTGTGTGTGTGTGTGTGTGTGTGTGTGTG